CCCGGTGACCCGAGGAGAAGGAAACCAGTCCGGCCCCTCCCTCCGGTGGCGTCTGAGGGTCTCGGCAGCCCTGAGGGGCCCCTGCACCCCCTGCTGCAGCCACCCACCTGACCCCGTGCAGGGAGTGATGGATGGATGGCCAGAGCCAGGCTCAAGTGTCCGGCCCTCCAACCAAGTTCCCAGAGAGGCCCCCGCCCTGTTCTCCGACCCCCAAGAAGCCATCAGGCAGTCTCCACAGCGATTGCCTGGAAGTGCCTTCTCGGGTCTGGCCTTGGTGCAACCTGCTGTGAGGGCCTCCCGCAGGGCCTGGCGTGGGCACCAGTGCAGGACGGCTGTGGGGCTGCAGCAGGGGGCCGGGGGGCGGTCGGGAGGTGGGCCAGGGGCTGCTGGGAGCTGAGGGGCTGCTTCTGGAGAGTTCACTTGAGCGGTGGAGTCTGGCTTGGCTCTTTGACACCCTTTCCTGTTTACTCCTGTTCTCGCCGCCACCCCCGCACATACCCAGGTTCCGACAGAGCAGCCTGGAGGGGCTGTGGGCACAGGTGGGGGTCCCTCCTGCCCTCGCCACTGCCCTAGGTGTGTGTGACATGCCGACTGTTGCAAAACTGATGTTATCACAGCAGAGGAACCTGTGAGTCACTGCCCCAGAGCAGGGGCTGCACCCCAAATCCTCCCAAACAAAGGCCCTTTGTCCCCGAGCCCCCCAGGGCCAGGCCCAGTGTGCACACCGTCAGACATGCAGGCAGGCAGACATGCCGATGGTGACGGCAGGCACAGACACGGGTCAGGGGTGTGTTCCCAACACCCAGACATGCTTCCCAGCCCGCCTCGACCCAGCTCCAGGGGCCAGGCCTTGGGAGACCCCAGGCTGCTGGAGGCCTCAGCTCCCAGGTCAGCTCAGGTGCCCAGGGCTAGAGATCCAGCACCTCGTTGACCCTGGGGCAGGGACCTGAGGTTTTGCAGAGCTGGGAGCAGCCTGAACTTGGCCCAGAGGGCACACTGGCCAAGCCCAGCGAGTGAGCGAAGGCCCCAGGATGCAGCACCCCACCCTGCCCCCCAGCTCATCTCATGAGGGCCTCCTGGCCACAGCCCGGGCCTAGGTCAGTGCTCTGTGTGCAGGACGGAGGCCTCGGAGGAGACAGGCTCCCTGCCCCCAGGGAGCTTCTGCCCCAGAATAGGGTGTTGATACGCCTCTCCTTTGACCCCATCACTCAGAGTCCCTGGCTCTCACAGAGTCCAGCTTGAGGCCCCAGAGAGCAGCACTTCCCCACCCCCAGGTCCAGGGGTTTTGTGGCCCCCGCCCCAACCGTCTAGCATAACGGGCTCCCTGGCTGGACCAACGCCAGCAGGTCTCCCTGATGCCAAGGACCCCGACCACAGCTATTCCTGAGCTCAGCAACTGGCCAGCCAGGGACTCCGGCCACCTGCCCTGTGTTTGCTCCCGAGGGGCCTAGCAATTCCAGCTCAGCAAACAGACCCCTGGTCCCAGGGCAGAGACAGAGGAGACACGGACTCCACATGCACCACACACCCAGGGGTACAGGTGCAGCTGCACTCTGACCACATCGGAGTCAGAGACACCATCAGCTACCACAAGGACCCTCGGGGTCAGCAAAGGGAGCCCAGGAACATGCAGACCCAGAGGAGCACAGACACGTCCCCCCCACCCCCATGTCCCAGGCTACTCTGGTCCTTGACCCCGGTCACAGGAGTCAGGATGTCTGGTCTGGATGTGAGAACCTCCCAGGTGTGCAGGGAGGGCCCTAGCTGGGGACAGGCAGCCCAAGGGCCTTTAGAGCAGACCCCCTCCCAGCCCAGGCCCAACGTGAGGAGGGCCAAGTCAGACCCAAAGCTGGGCCCTGGCCACCAAGGGCCAACCTGTCCCAGCTACACCCCAAGATGCACACTCCACCCAGGTACCTCAGGCCCAGGCCAGACGGGCGGGCCTCCTCTGCAAGCCTCACCCCTACCCTGTCCCATCCCGCAGCCCCCAGAGGGAACCATGGTGAGCAGGCCCAGGCAGCCCCCTACCCTGGCCCCCCCGCTCTCCAGCTCCTGCCATGGGCGGGGTGGGGCCCAGCTGCCGAGCTGGCGGCTGCTCCTGCCCCGAGAGGACTTTCCAGCTGCCCTGAGCCAGACGCCCACATTCCTATCTGCACTCAAACCGGACACACGCAGAGGGCGTTGGGGGAGCAGGCCCTGACCCAACATGGAGACAGCCGCTCCCAGAGCCCCAGGGCCCGCCTGGGGGCTGGGAGTGGCCGGTCAGGGGCAGCCAGGCTGCGGCCCCAAGACCAAGGCTTGGGAAGCATGGGGATGGGGGACACTGGAGGAAGGTCCCCCTCCCAGGAGCCCCCAGAACAGCAGGTCCCCCAGCCCCAGCTGGCAGGCGGCAGAGTCAGATGGAGGTTCTGAGAAGTGAACCCTAGACGGAGTCACCAAGGTCAGCTGGGCACCTCCTGCCGCTGCATGGCAGGGCTCGAGGTCAGGGGTCAACCCCGGGCCATCCAGCGCCTTGCCAGCCATTGTGGCTCTGGCCCCAGCCAGACATTCGGGGTACCCCAAAGCCACATCCAAAACCAGAAAGGCCAGGCCAGGAAAAGAGCCCCAGTGACCCCAGGAAGCCCCTGCCCTGAACAGCAGCCCTACCTGGCATGCACCCCACGGCAGGACCCCCTGCTCAGGCTGGGAGGCGTGACCACAGGGCCCACGGCCCCTTGGGGCTCCAGACCCCCCAAGGCCCTGTGGAGCTTCCCAAACACCCAGTTTGGGTCAGGCTCAGGGACAGTGGGACTGAGAGAGATGCAGCTGGGTCTGGGGGGGGGGGCCTTTGGGGGCCTCACCTGCACTAGCCCCTTGTGCACACTGAGGGGCCAGCCTGTGTCCTTGAGGGTCGGTCTGGGCCTGGGGCCTAAATCCCAGGCCACCCCAACTCACGCCCCTGGACCCTCCTATGGCAGCCTCCGCCATCCACTGGCCTCCCATTTCTTTCTCCTGCACCCCCAGCCCTGGGGGCTCAGCTCAAGACAGCACATTCCAGGGGACTTGTGTCATTAGCTAAGCGGCTAATGACCTACGATTAGGGGGCAGAAAACGGAGGAAGACGAGACACACCAGGAGGCAGGTGGAGTCGGGCGCCGGGATGCGGGCCCTCCCCGGCCCTGGCCACCTGCCCACTGTGAGCTCCACGGAGCTGGCCCGGTTCATCCTTCCTCTCCTGTCTCTCGTCTCCTTGTCTCCTCGTCTCTTGTCTGTCACTTTCTGAGGGGCCCTGGCCCGGCCTCTGGGTCTGGGTCTCCATCTCTGTCATCACAGCTCCTGCAGCAGCTCAGAGGGAGGTGAGAGCTGGCCCTCCTGGGCCAGGCGAGGCAGGGGGATTGGCTGGTGTTGAAGGACTGTCAAGAAGGCCCCGGATGCAGTGGGGCCCAGGCACGGCTGAGAGGGTCTGGCTGGGTGCCGGCTGTTGTTGCTCAGCATCCCTCCCGACTGCGCCCTGGGCAGCCCCGCCACTGCACAGCCTCGGTCTCCCCCTCTGTAAACAGGCGAGCACTGACCCATGCCTACGGCCAAGCCAAGCTGGAGCTCCAGACCGGGGCCCCAGAAGGCCGCGCACGAGAACTCTGTGATGTAAAGCGGGGACAGTGACCTTACCGAGCCCCTGCCTCCCGTGCCTGCCTCTCGTCTCCTAACCTCCATGGGGACCCCAGCGACCCGTGCCCACCCTCAGACTGCCTGAACGTCGCCCTCGACCTGGCTGGCGCCTGCAGCCGCTGTGAAGCACAGACCTCCTCTTGGCCCCTGACGCCACCCTGGGGGGACCAGGGAGAGATGAGGACAGGTCAGTAGCCAAGCATGCCGCCACACGGACCTGCGCCCACCTGGCACCAGTGCTCTCCTGCCTCATTACCCAGCAGGCTGCAGGGAGGGGCCCGCCTGTGGCCCCTCAGGCAGGTCAGAGTCCGGCAGAGGGGATGGGTAACGGCCCTCAGGCTCCAGCCTCCACCTGCCCCCCTCCCACCCTTGCCCTGAGCCTGCAGGCAGACCCCACCTGCAGGATGGAGACCCTGCCCTGCTCAGCCCTGGAAGCAGGGTCTCCAGGCCCTGCTGCTGCGGAGCTGAGCCCCACCCAACCCCTGTGCGTCTGCGGAGGGGTCAGGGGCCGGGGATCCAGCTGGGGCCACCTGCTGAGGGCCCAGGTGCCAACCAGAGATGGTATCTCAGTGGCTCTGCAGAGGCCCGGACAGCCCAGGACCAATTTACATTCTTTGGTCTGGGTTTGCCGGAGCCAAAATGGAGTGGGGGAAGGGGGCCCTGAATCCACAGGTCTGACCCCGTCTTTGGGGTGAGTTGTTTACACCGCCTGGTGGGGCAGCAGCCAAGGGGAAAGTGGCGAGAGTGAGGTGCCTGCCGGCCTAGGCCTGGACAACCTTCGCCCAGCCCCACAGGAAACGTGTGCCTCAGCGCACCTGGGCAGCAGGGACACTCTCCAGTTCATATGCAGTCCTGTGTGTGGCTCGCCCACGTCTGCTCCCCGCACCTACCCCGCAGGTGAGGCCCTCCTGAGGGCTCCCCACCTCGTCCTCTGCGCCCCAGACACGCACAGCACACGGCATCAGGGCACTGTCCCGCTCACCAACCTCTGAGTCTTCTAGTTCCCCAGACTGAATGGGTCTGGGCCCCTGGCCCTGCAGGGGACCAAAGGCTGCTGCCCTCCAAGGCTGGACTGGCCCTGGGTGAGCAGAGGGGCAGTCCCAGGCCGTGGGCAGAGCCAAGCAGGGACCAGGATGGACACCTGTCCTTGTACTCAGCAGGCACAGGGGCTGTGGGGCTGCACCCGGCGCTGCCAGGACGCTTGGCTGGAACCTCCACGTCCAGAGCAAAGCCCACCAGCCTGCCCCCGCCCTGGCCCAAGGAGTGAGTCCTAAGGCCACACATCCCTCCATGGCTGCACTTCTGGCCCTGCCCTCACCTCCACGACGATGACACAGTGACCAGGTGACAGAGAGGGCTCGGGGTGCTTTATTGCCGTGACCACAGATAACAGAGGGCAGTGGGGGGTGGGCTGGGCAGCCCCTCCACAGCCTCAGCGAGTCCTCTTTGACGGCAGCTTCTCCCAGCCCTGGCCGGTGCTCTCACATGCCCAGGAGCAGGCCAGAGAAGCTAGAGCTGCTCTGGACGGTGAGGGCTGCCCCAGAGCCATTGTCCACGAAGACGGAGGCGTATTGTCCAGCCTGCAGATACCCACAGTGGACGTCAGCCCCCAGAGGGCCTCCGCGCCCTGGAGTTTGTGGAGCGACAGAGCCCCAGCCCCACCGGGCGGCACGCAGCCCAGGCCATGCGGGGCCAGGAGTCCTGAGTGGCCACTGTGGCCAACCTCCACTCACTCACTGGGCTGGGTGGTGTCCAGGTGAGGCTCGGCGGCCCCAGAACCCCCTGCCCTGCCGCCCCTCCAGCCTCACCTGCAGCTCCAGCAGCCCCTGCACCTGCACCGTGAAGACCCTGCCGTTGCTCTCCAGGCCCGAGACGGCCTCCAGGGACCTGGACACAGTGCCGTAGGGCAAAGGTGAGGGCAGGGCTGGCCCGTGGACAGGACCCTGGTGCCAAGACCCCACGACCCACCCCAGTGCTCACTGCAGGCTTCTGTGCTTGGGACAGCCCCTCCCCTCTCCAATAGCAAGATGGTCCACACTCAGGCACCCACCCCTGTCCCCTGCAACCTCCTGGCGCCAAGGGTGGCCCAGGAGGGCCCACTCACGTGTGGCGATGGCACAGGGACTCGATGCAGATGAGCACCCGCACGGTGTCCCGGACCCGCAGCCGAGCCCTGCCCTGCAGCTCCCTGTGGTCTGCAGAGACAGGCTAGGTCTGCAGTGGTCCTCGGGGAGGACGGAGCAGAGAGGGGCAGGGGCAGGGGCTGGGGTCTTCAAGCCCAGGAGCGGCTGTGGGCTGGGGGAGGGTGGGCGTGAGGCCCCATCCAGGCCCACCGTGGGAGCTGGGGTTGGAGCAGCAGCACCTCTGCAATGGGACCCAGGCCTGGGGCCTGCAATGTCCTGTGCCCACCCGGGAAAGCCAGTTCCCAGCCCACCACACGCACCCGGGCCTGGCCCACTCACCCACGTGCAGGCTGGCGGAGAACTGGAAGATGGCGCTCACCGGGGCTGTGAACCGGCCCGAGGCCAGGCTCAGGCCAGACCCCCGCAGGAAGGCGCCCTGGGCTGTGGGCTGGAGGGGCAGCAGGTGTACCATAGGGCCTGGACTCTCACCGTGCACACCAGCCTGGGGCAGGAGGCTGCGACCAACAGCCCCCAATCCCAAGCAGGCCCCCAGGACAGACGGGACGACATGTGTGCCTACATCCCTGAGCCTCTGGGCACAGGCTCCAGGCCCCAAAGGGTGATGAGGCCCCGAGACCCCACATAGGGGAGGGTGTCCCTGCCTCCTGGCCACTTCAGACCCCACCTGAAGTCTTGGTGCACACAAGTCCTCCCAACCCGGACCCAGGCTGCTCCCCCGTGCCCACTCCCCCAGGCCCCACTGCATGTGTGTACTGAGTGGTCACCCCATGGTGGCTGTGGGCCCGCTCACCTGTGGGGGGCTGACCCAGCATCCTGCCCCCCAGCTGGTCCCCGTTAGTGCATGAGCGCCTACGGGGATGCCCCTAGAGACAACCAGGGCTTACTGGGCCCCTCAGCCCCGCCCCCCGGGCCCACCCCCCATGCCCACTCACAGCCTGGAAGCCGTGTAGCTCCACCAGAGTCTTCTTGTCCACCAGCACAGGGCCCTTCAGCCGGCAGTGGAAGGCCTCAGCCACCAGCCGCCTGCCTGTCCCCTCAGGCAGCAACGGGCCCAGCAGCCCTGAGAACCGACGCTCGGTGGCCTCTGTGGGGACACGGGCAGGGGCAGCAGCTTGGAGTCAGCATGGGGTCACCCCCAGGCTCAGGTGGGGCCCTCCTGAGCCTCTGGGAGGAGTGGGGTGGGGGGTGGGCGACTCACCTTTCAGCATCTCCTGAAACTCCCTCAGCAGGGCCTCCTGGGTGACTTCCACACCAGGGGGGCCTGGGGGGCCAGGGGGCCCAGGAGGCCCTGGAGGGCCAGAGAGGCCTCGCTGGGGGGAGGCAGGAGAAAGTGAGAATCCCCGGGCAGCCACAGCCACCCCTCCCTGGGCACAGACCCCGGCGCTCACCAACTTTTTGTTCTGGCCTCGGCACCGTTTCTTCGAGGCCCCATCATCCGGCCGCCGGACAAAGTTCAGCCATGTCATGTGGGCATCTGAGAACTCAGGCCCCAAGGCCTCAGGCGGCTGAAGGGCCAGGGGACAGGGCTAGTGAGCTGACTGCCGGGCCTGCTAGGTCCTGCCCCGCTGCCCCCGTGGAGAGCAGGAAGCCTCAGGGTCCAGGTCACCTCAAGCAGGACTCAGAAAGGACATGAGAAAGATGCCGACAGGGCACTGCAGGCCACCCCCGGGGACTCAGACCAGATGACAGCAGGGCCAGGGCTTGGGCCCCTGCGGGTGCTAGTTCTGTGTCAGAGCAACCGGGTCCCCTCCCGTGGCGCCCTGTTCCCACGTAGACGGGCACACCCATGTGCACTCGGAGCCAGTCCCACGTGTCCTGACAGGGTTTGGCCCTGGCGGAGGCCGGCGATGCAGGGCAGGAACGTTTCCAGAGCCACGCTAGGCAGGGAGGGGGTGGGCGCAGGCCCTGCTCTGTGCTGGGCATCGGGTGTGCGAGCTGGCAGCTTCAGTGCTCCGGCGGGCCCTGCTCCTCAGGCTCAGACCCATGCCACAGCAGCTGGCCCACCTTGCTGTTGGAGCAAGGGCCGGGAGGGGTGGAGCAGAGCGGCCTTGACGGAGTCCCCCAGCCCTCCAGCCACCCCCTCCTAAGCCCAGGTTCTGCACCAGGCAGGTGGGAGAGGCCAGAGCACCCCCAGTTCCAAAGTCAGAGAAGGAGACATGGTACTAAGTAAGGGGCCGTGGGCCCGGGAGGGAGTTAGCCATCTGAGGAGGTGTGTGCCAGGCTCAAACAGGAAGCCCATAAAACAGGCAGGAGCGTAGCAGACACGGCCTGCCTGGGAGAGAGCCACCATCACGAGGCCAGCGGAGCTCTGGCCACTCCCGGAGAGCCGTCCCAGGCAGGGCAGGCTGAGCGGTCGGCCCTCAGCCCCAAAGAGAGTGGGAACTAGGCTCCGGGGGCAGGTGCAGCCTCCTGACCAGGGGAGGCCGGGGCTCCTTCCCAGTGGACAGGCCTCCATCCTGGGGGGCTAGGAGGAGCAGGTCCCCTGATGCCTCGCACATCTGCTGTCTGCCTGTTCCCCTGGCTGCCAACGACCCTAGCTGCACCTGAGGAACTTAGGGGTTCTGGAGGGCCAAGTGCATCAGTGGTGTCTGGGGGCAAGGGCTGCGGGAGCAGGCAGGTGGAGGACGAGCCCACCCCCGGCAGGAAGGGCAGGGGTCCCGCCATCTGGGGAGGGCAGTCCTGGAGCACAGGCCAAACGTCCCCGTCCGGGATGGAGGTCCACCTGCCTGTCCCCAGACTGCTCTGTGCCCTTGCTCCAGAGGGGCAACCCCAGGCAGGGGGGCCGGGCAGGGCGGGGAACCGCCACCAAGGACCCCTCCCCTGGGTAACTGGCTGGGATTGCTCAAGACTCTCTGGCCGGCCCCAGAACCTGCCGGCAGCCCACTCTTCCCTGGCTGGCCAGGCCCAAGCACTCCCTTCTCCTCAGCCTGCCCATCTGGAAAACGGGGCTTCAGGCTCCAATGGGGCCACGTGGGCCAGGAGCAGCCAGGCTGGCCGCCACGGAGACGCCCTTGGGAGGCGGGAGGCCAGGATCAAAAGCCTGAGGGCTGGCAGGGGGCCTGCCCCAGCAACTGCTGCTCCCCTCCCAGTCCTGCGGCCCCTAGATGGGCAGCTGCAAGAAGCCACCAGGCCTGCACTCCAGGCCCCTCAGGAGACCCTCAGCCCAAGAGGGTGAGGCCCAGGGCTGAGGTGGGTGCAGGGGTCTCCTGTCTCAGAAGGGACTCTGGCGGCAGGCTGGGGCTGGAGGGACTCTGAGGACAGGAGCACGTCCCATGCCAGAGGCCACAGGAGGTGCTGGCTACACAGTGCAGAGTCAGGGCAAGGACCTCCAGGAAGCACATGGTCCAATCTGGCCACAGAATTGTGGGGCACCTGGTTACCAACAGGGAGTCTGCTGGGCAGCCATGGAGCAGGCTGCCTGAGTTCCCCCACCCCTCCTGAATTAGCAATTACACCTAATGCAGCAGGTTTTCCGGGCACGGTGGGCTTCAAAGGGTTCAATGGAACGCTGCTGGGGAGCTCCTCCCCTCCCCCAACCCCATCCCAGGCTGAGGGTGGGGGGTGGAGGGGGTGGGGGGTGCCGAGGCCGGTTCCCATCCAGCTGCTGCGGATCCTGCCCAAAGCACCACCCCACCCAGACGGGCTGGGGTCCTGGAGAACCCCGCAGGGCAGAGCCTGCCAACAGGAGGGCGACACCCCTGCAAGCCCCAAAGTGGCGCCCACGTGCGCCTGGCCCAGGCGTACCTTGCGGGAGGCCGGCAGCCCCTCGCTGTTGGACACGGTGGCGTTGGGGGGCTCGGTGCGCTGACCCGGCTGCCGCGGCCTCTTGGGCTCCTGCTGGGCCCTGACGTCCCCGAGGAGCGCGAGCTGCGGCCAGAGGAGAGCCACAGCCATGGCCCAAGCCCAGCGCATGGCGACCCACGGCTCCGGACCTCGGCGGCTCAGCGCTGTGAGCGGGGGCGCCCGGGCACGCTCATGGGGGCGGCGGCACAGCCGGCACTCAGGGCCCCCATGCGGGGACGCAGCCCCGGGGGGCGCCTGGCTGGTGCATCTCCACGCGGGCGAGCGGGGCGACAGCACCACGGGCGGGCAGGATGCACTCTGTCTCCGCAGGCTCGCCAGCTCCCCGCGCGCAGTGCCCTCGCCGCCTGCGCCGCCGCCAGATAAACCCTCCCCTTCCCCAGAGCCGCGGGGTCCAAGGGGGAGGGCTCGCACGCGGAGGACCGTCCGCCGGGCGCCCAGGCCGTCGGGGGCGTGCACGGGGCGGGAACCCACTGACCACGCGCCGCCGCGCTTCTACTGAGGAGCCGGTGCCGGGCTGTCCGAGAGGCTGTGCCTCCCCAGGGCCCCCCAGGTCCTAGGAAACAGCCCCAGGCTGGCCTTCCCTGGGGGGAACCTGGGAACCGCTATGCGGATTCGCCCCGCCCCGCCCGGCATCTCGCAGGCAGCCCTTCCAGGGTAGTGGCCAGGGAGCACCCCCCTGCGCCGCGGGGGGCACACACGCCATCAGGAGTTCACAGCCCCCTCAGCCCCTTCCTAGGACCACCTCACTCAGCTCTCCCAGGTTCTTCCGGCCCTGCCCCAGGTGCCCCAGCCCCAGGGTCCTGCTGGCACCAGGAAGCAGGACAGATGACCCCCTGGGGTCCCCAGCTTTGTCCCAGCCTTGGTGATCACGGGTTCTACTCCTCCACTGGGGTGAGCATGGCCAGCAGGGGAGGGGCTGGCTGACCTCGAGCAAAGGCGTGGCAGGTGGCCGAGGCTGCCCCAGAGCCCTGCCCCCTCCTCTTATGGGGCATAGGGCCACCCCTCACTGCCTGAGGGGCTGCCCTCCCCCAGCTGGCATCCCACAGTCCTGAGCCAGCAAGGTAAAGGGAGTTCCCAGGCCCATCCTCTGGGAGGGCAGTGCAAGAGCGAGCCCCCAGGTGGCTGTGCACTGCCAGATGAGCCCATTCACTCCACAGCCATCGGCCCCAGGAGAACAAGCACATTTCCTTCCAGTTGGACCTGAGTGACAGTGGGCAGGTCCCCAGGGAGACTTGAGGTCCTTCCTTAACTACCTCCAGATGTGGGGCAGCAGGACGGCTGGGGCCAGGTCAAGTCGACAGGCCCCACAGGCACGGTGGGGGACCCTGCTGCCAGCCACCCTTCAGCTGGTGTGGACCGAAGCTGAGAACAGTCAGAGCCATGGCTGGCTCCCAAAGGAGCCACTGCTTGCAGTCCAGCCTCAAGGAAGGTGGGGCACAGTAGTCCCAGGGCAAGCAAGAAGAACCCTCCAGACCCTCCCCAATTTCCAGATGTGCACGGGGAATGATGCAGGCAGCCAGGCAGGAGACCTCAGCCCCGGGCCACATCCATGGTCACCGCCCCAGAGACAAGCTGGACAGGGAAGATGTAAGGAGCATCCACCCAGGACACCCGTCTTCCCTCCTAGCTCAGGCAGAGGTCACCTCCAGGGACAAGAGCGGCCAGTTCTGGTGAACCCGGGTGAACCCGCCGCAGCTCCCTTGTGTGTCCGACGGTGAGCCAGCTCCTGATGCCTGCATCCTGAGGAGGGCCACAGTGAAGACCCCTTTGCGCCCCGCCCAGCTGGAACCCTAGGCGTGACCTGCGCCCAGCACCGGCTCAGGAAAGGCCGCCCAGGAGCCTCCTGCCAAGCTGCCTAACCCCTCCTCACAAGCTGGGCAGTTGCTTCCTTGTGTCACCTGCATCCTGACAGCATGCCGGCAGAGTGCTGCTGGCAATGTGCCGACTGGCTGCTGTGTGGACACTGCCAGCTGTGCCAGCCTCCAGCATGTTCCTACAAGGTCGATGACAGGAGTGGGCTCCCTAGGGTGCGCTGTCCACACGACACCCATGAAGCCGGTTCTCTGCTCCCCAGGGCCCCTCCCCCACACCCCGGGGGTCCTTCTGGGCCAGCTCCCCCGCGAGCACTGGAGCCACTGGAAAACACATCCGCACCTTCCCACCACAGCTGCCAACCACCCCCCGAGAGAGGCTCAGGCCAGCTGCTGGTTCTTACCCACCCAGCCCACAAGACACTGGACGCCCCTACTCCCTGGGACAGGCCGTCCGCCTGCTGCCCTCGCAGGCGGAGCTGCTCCAGCCTCTCGGACCAAGACCTCTGGGCTGCATCTGCCAGTACTGAAGCCTTAGACTCTGGCCTGGGGGACCCTTCTTCGGGGAGAAACACAGGAAATACTCTTCTCCAAGACCGCCGTCCATCCATACCACCAAGACTGCTTTACACGTGTCTGCGGAGCATCGACGATCAGGGGTTCTTCTCCCTTGATTGGGACAGACTTCACTACACAGTCCGAGTCACAAAGGGTTCGGCTGTGCCAGCCGGGGGGACACACACATTCAAGGGGTAGTCTAAGGATGCCCGACGGCCCTCCACCAGAGACTCCACACAAGAACGAGGCGCCCGTGATCCCCTCAAGGGAGAGCAACATGGACACGGGGTCAGACGCATAGTCCAACAGGACAAGATCATCTTTTATTTCAGGTCACTCGAGACAGCATGCCGCCTCGGGCACTGGCGAAGGCTCTGTACAGCACAGATCAATTCCCAACACTGACTAAGGGTTTTTAAAGGTTGAGATTTCACGTAGAGAAAAGAAATAACACATGTTAAGTAAACTCTCTATCTGCTAAACATTCTGCCTCCCAGAGCCTCAGGAAACATCGAGCGTGTGGAACAGACGCTGGCCTCCAGACGTGCCCTCGAGCCGGCTGCGGGCGCAGGGTGAGGCCTGGCAGGGCATGCTCCTGCTCCCACTGCATGCAGGGGTCTGGGCCCAGCAGCATGGCAGGTACAGCAGCTCCGGCTCCTCCACAGGCCAAGCCAGCGGCCTGCCCATGGGCTACCCCAGCACGGGGCTGAGATGGACTCAAATTTCCACCAGCACAGACTCAAACAGCACAGAATGTAGGAACAAAGCTATAATGAAAGATTTTTTTCACAAGAGTGGGTTAAATACACACAAGTGGTAAATTATAGAACAATTTTAAATAAACTGATCAACAAAGTCAGATAGATGCACAAGTGCACGGCTGCACTTGGGTTCCCCGTCCTCTGAGTGCAGGCACAGCGTCTCCTCTGGGGCTCACACAGGTGCCTTCCACACCGCGTGCAGGGGAGATGATGAAACAGACATCAAGGGGGAAGACGCTGGCGATCCGGGGAGTCCTCGGTCCCAAAACTGAGGCACTGCCCACTCTGCCCCTGACCTTGAAGTGTCTTTCCAGGGCAGCCTGTCCCCTCCTGTAATGCCCAATCTTGCTATGTTGTCTCCCGGGAAGAGCCGACACCTGACATGGACCAACTATGAAAAGGAGCGTGTGAGCCTCTCTAAGGTAAACCAGACATGGAGCGCAGAGCCTGCCTGTCGGGTGGGGACCCCTGTGGTGCTGCTGGGGTTCCACCCTCCACCAGCACAGGAGGGGCTTCTGGACCACGGGACACGAGGGATTCAGAGGAAAGGCTCTGGGATACTGAGGACCACCCTCCGAAGCAGCAGCCTGGAGGCGACTGTGGGGGCTGCTCTGCAGCCTCCATCCTCAGCCATGGCTTCAAGTAAAGGACGACCCCTAGTGGTCAAGAATGAGCAGATGCTTAACTTCAACTTCAGCAAAACAAAGACCACACACTTTCCTAGGAGGAATCTGCTTCACTCTAAGTGAACACAAGCACATTTTAAAATGCTGAGGCCAAATCCCACGTCTCCTGGATCCCGGTCCACTGTTGTCTCTGGCCAGCCGGCCCCTGGGCCCCACCGCCAGGACCCTCGCCCACGCCAGCCGAGCGCAGTCACGGGACTGGCTCCTGTCTGCTGAGTCAGAGCTGCGCTGGACTAAGAACGCACGCAGAGTACTGATAAGCATCGAGTTTTATATTTTAAGTGACCAAATCTAATAAAATGAAAAACAGGTTTACTAAAACAGGTCCAAAGACAATACAGGAGATGAGCTATAAAACCAAAGCGTGAGGCCCCTCCTCCTCAACACCTGAGCCCCACAGCCCCCGACAGACCCAGGGTGAGAACAGGGCATGAGAATCTCGAGTCTCCTCCAGACCCAAACCACACACTTTGGTTTCTGTTTTCCTTTTAAAGGTTTTTAAAAAGCTTAACCCCAGGAGTCAGGCGGGTCCGCCCTGTGCTCGGAGGCACGTCCAGCCAGCCCGCTTCAAGCTTAGGCCCAGCATCCCCATTTCCAACGACCTGTGCAGCCATGGCGCACAGCTCACTCCTGCGCTATGCTTCTCAGCACGTACTTGACCGTGTAGGCGAAGGCTGCAAACCCAACTATAACAAACAAGTTCGCCAGGGCACCGCCCAGGAGTCCATGGTGCCGGTTGGCCTGCTGGAGCCCCGCGAGGTGCGGCCCGGCCCCCGGTGCATGCCCATTGAGCAGCTGAAGCCCATGCTGGCCAAGGTGCGTCTCCCCATCAGGAACCACGTCCGGTAGGGGGAGAGCCTGGGGTCGGCTACTGAGGTCATCTTGTGCTTTCTGTTTCTGTTTAATTTCCTAAGAGAAAAACAGCAAGAAACAACGGCTGGTCTAAACAAGCCGGTTCCTTTAGGACCAGGGAGGGTAAAGGGTCAAGGCTGCTAAAAGTGTTCAATCCCGACACCCGCCCTGGGAGGTGGGCGCTGCTTATGTTAACCCTGTTTTACAGATGTATGGGCCAAGTGACCTGCCAGAATCACCAAGCCTGCACCTCACAGGCCCTGGATGGACCAAGTCCCAGCGACACAGAATCGCCACAGCCTCGATCTCCGTGCGGTCTAGCCACCCCTGTGCACAGCAACATTCTCTGCTCTAGTGCCAAGACCAGAGAGCATTCCAGTCCCTCATGGCAGGGTCCCCCCCTAGAACCTCAGCAGCCCACCCAGAACCTCTCCACCCCTTGCTCCCCGGTGGAGACAGGCCCAGTCTCCACTTTCCCCAATCTCTCCCCAGCTCCAACCCTACTGTCCAAGCCCCCAGGTTTCCGGGTGCCTTGAGAGAGGCAGGTGTGTTTGCACCTAAAAGCACATGTGGGGCCAGTCGCCCCTCGGTGCTCTGTTTCTGCGGTACAGGGACACACAGGCATGCACGTTTTCTCTCTGGAGAGAATTGAATCTGAAAGTGTTTCTGACATGGGGAAAGCAAACCTGATTGCCAACTTCTGCTTTCTTACCTCCACGACTTCAGGAAATAATTCACAAAAGACTTTGTCTTTTAAATTAAACGCTAAACTCTGTGCAGCCAGTTGTCTCTTCTAGGAAGAGAGAGAAGGGACACATCAGCCCAAAGGCTAATTTCAATTCTTTCAAATTCTAAAAAAAGATTATTTTGTGGTCAAGAGCTGCTGTTACGTTGTTGAAAACACTCCGTAAGCTGGCTCTTCACGACAGACTAATTTACAGTCTTATAAAGGTGTATCTTCCCATTGTCATCAATTAATGCCATCAATTAATGACGTTCAACTTGATTCTGACTTAAACACTAGAAAACTAAAACCAGCTAACAAGAAGGAGGAGCCACCGTGCCCATGTGCGACACCCTCGCTGTCCACAGAGGAGCTGCATGCTGCCCACCCCTCCACGGTCCCGAAGAAGTGCGGCCTGCTGTCCCCACTACTGAGAACAAGGAACTCCAGAGTGGCGGGTCTCTCTAGTGGTGCCTGGGGGGCAGGGACACAAGCGGAGCAACGCTCTCCACCCCTCACCGTGAAGTCCGAGGTCTCTATACTGCCCAGGGTGGGGCCCTTCTCCACCATGAAGCTAAGGAGCCCAGTCAGGATGGTGGAGACGGACCAGGCCGGGTTCCACGTGTCTGGGTGGAAATCCGTGATGGAAAGACACAGCCTGCAAAAAAGGGACCACTCAACAGAGCACACACTTGTCACGACCACAAGCACACGTAAGAAGCACCACAAAAACGCCTTACCTTGTATTGCACTTAAACCTTCCATTGGGAGTTATCATATAAATACTAGGAGGTTTAAAAGGAAATTCTCTGGGGAAAATTAGTTTTCCATGATAATAGCCACCTATATCAAAACAGAGAAAAAGCCTCATCATCATCCACAGCACGATTCCTCGCCGTCTCGACCCCCAGCACCCACCCCCACACCGCTGCCATCACTACCTGTCGCCTACCGTCTGCCGTGCCCCCACCCAGCTAGGTCTCCCCACCTCCGTGCCCATCCCCCAGACCATCCCTGGAACTCACAAGTCTTGCTAGCAATCTCACTGTGGGCTCATGACCATCGGAGCAGGCCCTTGCCCACCATGGCCACTGTAAGCCCCTCCTCGACCCTCCTGTCCCCCACTCACCAAGAGCAGAGCATCAGAAGAGAACTCTTCTTCTCTTCTGATAGGGCTCCCCCCACCCCAGGCCCCTTCTCTCCCACACCAGCCATTTCTCCCTCTTCACCAAACTACACCCAGCAGCAAGCACACCTGCCATCATTCCTCCCATCTTAAAAACCACAAACAAAACACACAACTCTGACCACCTCCCAGTTCCTGCCCACTGTTCCCTTCTCCTTCAGGTAAAACCCCTGGAGAACTATGTCCACGACTGCCATGCTCTCAAGTCCACCCTGACAAGGCTCTTCTCACCCCAATCCCCCACACCTGACCTCGAGGTCACCAGACCTCCCCACTGGGGTGTCTGACTGCATCTCAAGCCTCACGACCACTCCTGACCCCTCCTCCTTGAAGCCCCACCCTGGCTTGGCTCCCTCTTCCCGTCTTCATCCCCTCCTGCCCAGCACAGGCCACCCAGCTCCACCTGGTGCTCTCCCCACCACCTGCACTTCTGGGGTCACAAGGGTCTTACGTGACATGGAGAGTACCGTAATGACTCCAACCAGCACCTCCACCTGGACCTCTGGACTCCTCCCCAAACTCCAGACCCAGGTACTGACCAGGCAACACTGCCCCAGACGGGTCCAAGACATAATTCCTGCTATTTTCCCCAAACAGCAACTCCATCCTCTCAATGGTTGTTCAGACTGAAATCTGGGAGGCTCCCTAACCCCGTATCACATCTACTCCATCGGCAAATCCTGTTGGCCCCAACTTCCACCAGATGCAGAGCCCAACACTTTGATGACCTTGCTGGCCTCACTGCGTCCACCCCTGCCTGCTCAGCTCAAGGTCCCACCAGGCCAGTCCCTGCTCGAGGCCTCACAGCCTTGCTCTCAGGGAGGCAGCTGGGAGCCTGTGGGAAATGCAGAGCCTCAGGCCCACCCTAGACCGGCTGAGTGGAAGGTGCATTTGACGAGATCCTGGTGATGCGTGTGTACTTGTGTGTGCATGTACAGTGAGGTTTGAGGAACACTGCCCACCCGGGCTCCTTGCTGCCCCCCAGCAACTTGAGGATGATCCTACCTCAAGGACTGGGACACACTAGTCCCAGACTGCCACAGGTCTCTGCTCCAATCACTCTCGGGTAAGGCCTCCCACCACCTCACATGGGCTGCCGCACCCTGGCCGCCTCACATGAAGGCTAGAGGGATGACCTGAGCGAGGCCTGCTGGACAAGCAGACAGGCGCACCAGAGACAGACTAACAGGAGACATGACATGCAGAGTAGACGCACACTCAAAGTCACCAAGAAAAGCCAAACTGGAAAATAAACAAGAGATATAAACAGGCGATTTCCCAAGAGGAAGCAGGAACAGCCACCATGCATGTCTGGCTCAGTACTAACCAGGAAGTGACTTAAACAGCAGGAAACGCGCCATTTTTAGCTTCGTGGAGGGTGGTGGGAAGGTGGGCCCTGCCTTGTTGTGCAAGTATAAGCCTGCTTGTACCCCTGAGGGCACTGGCCAGGAAACAGAATTCTAAACACACGCAGACCCAGCGGTTCCAGCTCGTTATCTACCCGAGACGCTGACCAGTGCACGGAGAACAACACAAAGTTGTTCACGGCCAGTGAAAACCAGCAAACGCCCGCCTGTCCTCAGAGGGAAGGGCTCCGTGAACCACTCGTGCGCACTGTGGAGTCGGTGCAGGAGCTAGACAATGCAGGAGCCGGCAGAGCGAGAATCCTACAGGGGCAAACGACCAGCAACACAAACTGAAGGAGAAACTGCAAGTTGCAGGACATGCACAGTAAGCTGCTTCCCTCAAACCACAGCAGCATGCCGTTCTCCACGTCCAAAGACGTGCACTCTGAACTGCAGAAAAGTTTTGGGAGAAGTCATGTTTCAGGGGAGCCCAGGAGGTCTCATCCTGAGAGAGGCAATGCAGGGCACACGGGAGGGCGGAGCCTCACCCAGACGTCAAAGTGCTGAGCCCGGCCCCTGGGACCGCACAGAAGTCAGTGCGTGAACCCCTGTGCCAGCAGCTCCCACCCTCTTCCAAGGGTCCCCAGGGGACCGAGCCATGAGCACCGCCTTGGCCAAGACCAGGCGACAGAAACCGCAGAGAGCGCCACGGCCCTAGCACAGCACTGCGCTTCCTCCACTGAACTGTTTTTGCAACTTGGTCAAAAAGCTGTCGGCCACGGCTGTGCGGGACTGTTCCTGGATTCTCTACTCATTCTGTGGATCCGCATCTCCCCCCACAGACACCACACCATCTGATCACTGGAGTTACACCACAAGTCTCAAAATCAGGTGGAGTGACTCCTCCCATTTTATCCTCTTTAAAAATTGTTTCGGGGCTGGCCCAGTGGCATAATGGTTAAGTTCACACGCTCCGCTTTGGCGGCCCAGGGTTCACAGGTTTGGATCCCGGGCGTGAACCTACACAACGCTTATCAAGCCATGCTGTGGCAGGCATCCCACATATAAAGTAGAGGAGATGGGCACGGATGTCAGCCCAGGGCCAATCTTCCTCAGCAAAAAGAGGAGGATTGGCAACAGATGCTAGCTCAGGGCTAGTCTTCCTCACAGAAAAAAAAATTGTTTTAGCTATTCTAGGTTCTTGCCTTTCCACACACATTTCAGGATAAAAATTTTAGAATATGCTTCTGTATGTCTACAAAAACCATGCTAGAGGGCTGGCCCCATGGCTTAGCAGTTAAGTGCGCGCACTCCGCTGCTGGCGGCCCGGGTTCGGATCCCGGGCGCGCACCGATGCACCACTTCTCCGGCCATGCGGAGGCCGTGTCCCACATACAGCAACTAGAAGGATGTGCAGCTGTGGCGTGCAACTATCTACTGGGGCTTTGGGGGAAAAAAAT